GGACAGCTCCGCCCCCCCCCCCCCCCCCCCCCCCCCCCAGTCATTCTTGACAGGCAATTTGCTAGTATCTCCATAAAAGAAAACAGCAGTCCCCTATATTCACTTCTATCCCAACCCACTCCCACTTCCTGCCTTGCACACAGGGGAGCTCCCGCCCCTTTCTCTGCATCCCAAGCCTACCTCCCTCTCTCAGAACCCCAAAATCCACACATTATTCCCTTCCCTACATGGCAGCGTGTTGTTCGATTGAAAAAAAAAGACCACGTCTCGTTTCCCTGCTGCAAAGGGCAATGCCAGAGTGGGCCCTTGAGCCTCATTGCCCTTTGCCTGCTCAGCCTCCTGGCCTTTCTCCCAACCCAGGTTCAGCTGGCAGAGCCGGAAGCTGCACTTTTAGCACCCCCTGCCAACCTGGGGCCTGCTCCAGTCCTTGTGGGACCTGGGAGGGGCCAACAGCAGAAACAGCCTTCAGTGCAGTCTTAAGACTTCAGTCCTTAGTCATAAAGCAACTTGCAGACCAACCAGCCCTCCTAAAAGCATTGCAGTTCTTCATACAGTAATCCCCTAGTCAGCTCTTTAACAGGGATCACCTCACAGATGGGACTCTGAAAGTACACTTTTGAGCAGACAGCAATTCTGAAATCAAAACATTTTCCTGGACAAAAATCCTTACACTCACTGAGCTTCAAACTTAGCTTAATAATCTCTTTAGGATCATGAAGACACGCCAAGGTTGAAATGTCTACCTTCCATTCTTTAAATTATGCCAGTGAAAGAATTGGACTAAACAGACTGATACCTCTCTCCTTCCACTCCCCATTTTTAAGTAACTGGAGAAATGGGTGAAAAGGAACCCCACATGCTTTCTCCACAGAACTTTTCCATTAATTCTACCCCCTCATCTCGGGCCCAAGTTTCCCCAGATCATATTTAGGCATTTTACCTTGGGATAGGAACTAGCTTGGAAAATTTCAACTTGCAAAAGATCTATAATGAACAGCTGAAAAGTGGATGTTATAATGGATGTTAAAATGTAACCTTAGCTTTAGCAGTCACCACCCACACACTATAATAAGATGTAACATATCATAATTAGTTCATTGTGTGCCCTGTTTATGCTAGAATATGCTGCACTCAACAGCATTTGAAATATTCTGCTCTGTGGGTATAAATAAGCGAATGCCATACAAATAAAAATTATTCTGATGTAATTTATTGTCTGCATGGTCTTTCTGTAGTAATGCTACACAAAGGAAGCTGATAGAAATTGGTCAACATTGACTTTAGTTCAGCCGATTGCCAAAAAAAAAAAAAAAAAAAGAAGGAAGTGTTCTGCAGATGAGGATAATGGAAGAAAAGTGACTCATCTTCCTGCCAAGACTTAATGAATGAGCAAGCAAGGATATGAAAAGATAGAAGATAGATGAAGCCTACATTATAGTTTCCAGCTGCCCAGCATTTGCTAATTAGGTTGCATTTGGAACTGAGGTGCCTGTGGGCTTTTTGCTGCAGGAAGCTCCTGGCCCAAAAGCCAAAGGAAGGGGAGACTGGCAAACTATCTTATGTCGATACTGGGTGTGTCTACACGAGACACTACGGCACCGTACCAATGTACTACGGCAACATAGCTTTGGTGGGCATAAACCATGACATTGCAGTTATGACGCTGTGGTGATGTGCTGCCTGGCTACAGCACATCACTATGGCTAAAAATAGCTGTGCACCATCATTTAGTATTTCCTGAAAGAAGTACTAAATGATGACTCAGAAACAATGGCACTGTAGCAGCATGTGTAGACCTACCCACGGTGACTTAGGAAAAAAATGTTTAATCATTTTTGAGGCACATCAGGAAATCTTCCCTGGATTTCCCCACTTCCATTCAAAGAGAGACTTCCTGCAGTATTGGTATGGCACAAGTCTTCCAAAGCACTGCTTTCACTGTAGTGTGCATTGCCTCACTCCACATTCTTCAGTTTGGCTACTATGCCTGTTCTGGCCCCACAGGGATTTGCAGCTGGCCTGGAGGAAAATATTACAGGGGTCAGAACCTGTCTAACACCTGGTGCTTTTGAACGTGCAGGCTCCAAAACAGAGGCAATAACAATCTTTTTTCCAGTGCAAATACACCTATTAAAAATGAAAATTCTGTTTTCCCCAAATATGTAAATACCATTTGGATTTCTGTTAATTTCTGGCTTTGATTAAGGTAAAAATCAAACTATGTAATAGGTGTGTTTAACCCTGGAATTTAGGTCAGCAGGGTGTGCCAAGCATTTGAATGCAATGCTGTCTGCCATTTAACTTCAGTGATACTGTGGAAGTGCTTCTGTGTATTACATAAGACAATGAGGAGCAGGGCTAATGCCAAAAAGCTTCTGGAAGGCCACTATAGAGCAAAGAAACATGCCAGTATTTGTCTTTCCAAAACTTTTCACCTTTCCCATTGTGAATGGGACAAAATGCTGACAGCATTGCTAACATGAATGAAAATTTCAATATGTGATGGACATTGGGCTTCCCAGCTTATCCACTGATGGAAATCCAGTGCTGCAATGGAGAAACAGGTGAATCAGGTGATCAGCTAGTAGTGAATCAGGCTCACTGCACACATAGATGCATACATACTTTGTAGAGGTTTATACAGCTGGAAGATGATGTAACCCAACAAGAACTAAAATAGTATTACAAAGCCTCCATTTTTAAATTACAATTTTCAGATTATTTTTTCTAATCAGCTTTGTGCTCCTTCTTTTTGCTACCTTCCTCTGAACTTTTAAGTTATAATAACACAATTTTTAGTTGCAGAAATAAGTTCACACATTGCATGATAGTAACCAATTTCATTATTGTTTATTAAGAGAAAAATCCGTTTTTCATCCTTTCATTTCCTAATTTAAATTTCAGCAAGCTGTGTCATACGTTCAAGGGCACTATTACTGATAGCCATTAATTAGATCCTTATGGGACCATCTTTTTAAGGAAAAAAATCAGATCTCTTTACTACCATAGGAGAAAACCATGAACAGAAATCAGCGAGAGACAAAATTTCATTCTTATGAACTAAGCTGTCTTCTGAAAGGTACTGGTTATTCTCCTGTTATCTTCTGCTGCATTTGTATTTGACTGAGATCTATTATGGCTTATTTAACCAGGTGCCCAAACTTTCTGGAGATAAATTAATGTTAGATGTTTCTTAATTTTATAACATGATTTTTCATTTGTGCAATCTGTATTTCCCTGGTGACTGCCAAACTGTCTTAATTTTAGTTGTAAGTATCCTTTTCAAGGAACAGCATATTACAGTTGTAATTGACTCATTACCCTTCACAGAACCCTTCAGCAGAGCTTGAAATCCAGCTTGTCACAAACGTTTTCAAATATTAATATGTATTTGTCTTCTCTCCAGGACTGAGTGTTGTTCACTCTACAACAGTAAAATCTGTGACGTCTTCCTCTCCATTTATTCCTGGGAAAAAGACCATAGAGTTGGAAACAACTGAAATCGCTCTCCTTACCACCACAGCTGCTAGTATCACAGTACCAACAGCAATACCAGCAACACCAGTAGCAACAGAGATTACTACAAACAGCGAAGTCACATCAGGCTCAACAGAACAAGGCAATAACAACACGGTCTCTACAGTCACTTCAGAAGAGCCAGCAACTGCTACCACATATCTATCAGGGACAGGAAGCACAGACTTTGCAACAGCTAGTCAATCACCATCTGCAAATGCAGGATCAGAATCAACAGCCACAGAACACATCTCTACTTCTACAGTTACCAGTATAGCAAGAGATATACAAACCAGCCTGCCAACAGATACCACAGCTTCAGAATTAGCTACCCATTCTACGGCAGTCCCAGCAACCATCACTCCTCACCTAATAACTACTCTGTCTCCATCACCATCCACAGGTTCTTCCACAGCGTCTCTCATTACAGATTCCAGCAAAACCCAGCTGCCAACCACCTATACCTCCCGAGCAGGACACACTACAGAGGAAGTCGCTACTCATGAGACACCCCCAGTGCCCACCTCCTCAGGGCCAGTAACTGGACAGACATCTTCCCAACTTACATTGACAAACAAAATTGCCACTGAGAACAACTCCACTGACAGCACTAGTCTCTCTACTGGGGTAGCTATGGAAGAAGTTCAGCATGCTTTGAGTAAAGGTGAGGCAGATGGTTAACATATACATTATTGTTCTATCCTCTCAAGCAATTTATATTTCCAATTTTGGGAGGGAGAGAGGGATACAGAGTGATGAAGAGAGTTCACAGTCCTGATATATTCATAGAAAATGCTTCCAGGTTAAAAAATAATATTGCCTAGGAGCTTCAGCTGTATTCCATAGGCATTGCCCTTTACAGGTTTATTAAGATTTTTTTCCATTATTTAGGAAACCTTTATAAAAAAAATGTTTTTACCAATGATAGGGTATAGGTATGACCACTTGGGAATATTAAATATCTGAAGTTGTAGCTCTCAATAAGTATTTCACTTATTAATACTACTGCTGGCTTAGGACTTAAGATAGTACAGGCCATGACTCAAGAAAGTATGTTTGAGAAATACCATCCCACCTTGGGCACAGTTTCAAAGGCAGCTATTTATAGCTGCCCAGATGGTCAGGAAGGTCAGTCATCATCCCAAAGGCAAGAGATTGGTGGGCAGAGGGCAGGAGCAACTGTCACAGGTGCATGGTGCATATACACACCATATGTGATGGCAGTGTAGCCAGTTGCCTTACAAAGTGTTAATATGAGAATAGACCTGAACAGTGTGGGTGCGAAGGAAGGTGGATTCCTGCTCAGGACATCAACTCTGGGCGCCGCGCTTAGATTCATATATGTTAAGGTCGAAAGAGACCTTACTAGTTCATCAAGTCCAACCCCCTGCCCTGGGCAGAAAAGAGCACTGGAGTCAGACAGCCCCAGCTAGGTGATTGTCCAGTCTCCTCTTGAAGACCCCCAAGGTAGGGGAGAGCACCACCTCCCTTGGAAGCCCATTCCAGATTCTGGCAACCCTGACTGTGAAGAAGTTCTTTATGATGTCCAACCTAAATATGCTCTCTGTCAATTTGTGGCCATTGTTCCTAGTTACTCCAGGGTGTGCCCTAGTAAACAGAGCATCTCCAATTCCCTGCTGCCCTCCCCATATGAATTAAAAAAGAGAGATTTTTCTGGTGTAGTTGTGAACCATTTTTATAGTACAGAGATGAATTCATAACTGGATATGGAACTGGGTGCAAAAGTTCCCAAAGGTTTGAGTGTGTTTGAATTTGTGCTGCTGGTCCAATTAAAAAAAACCAGTACATGGAGAGAGCATGGTCTGCTGCTTTGTTACTTCACCTCATTCCTTTGGGTGAGGCACTTGTCTTCCACTTTCATTAATCAACGAAGAGCCAAAAAACAAGAGCTAGCAGCCCATTAAAGCTGGATGATCAAGCCACAAGTTAAGGCTGCTCCAACCCAACCTGCAGTCTCAACTATATTTTATACTATACTTTAACAGCCAGAAAGCACTTCCAAGTATGTTTCAGAGTGAAACAGAATACCATATCATGTGCTTAGACTTGCCTAAGACATGTCGCTCTTAATGCTACATGACAGCTGTTTTGCAGAACAGGCCTTCTGTTTATTGATTTGTTTTAGCAGGAAAAAAACTGGTGCTGGTAGAGAAGGTGGGGGTAATGGTGAGTTACACTGTCTTCTGGTCTTGTAAGTTAGACTGATGAGCAGACCTGCAGGCCATGGCCCTGCATCACAAGCCAGGGATGCTGTAGCAATACCAGGGAAAGTTTCTTTTACAGTGCTGGCAGGGATTCACAGTCCTCCTGCTTTCTGGGCAGGTAAATAGCCCTCCAAAAGTTGGTCTTGGGTCTGACACATCAGACACTGGGTGCATCTACACATGCACTTTAATGTGCATTAGCCTATTTTGATGTGCATTAAAGCTTCACTAAAAATGTGCTACTTAGTTAATGCGCATCAAAATAGGCTAATGCACATTAAGCAGCGTCACTTAAAAGCTATGCTCTTTAATTAATTCGCATTAAGACAAGCTAATGTGCATTTTCCTAGTACCTCACAATGGAGGGCACCTAGTCTACCAGAGCGTGGTAATTACCACACTCCAGCAGCCTCCAGCATCTTGTATATCAGTGTCCCCATGCTTAAAAATGGCAGGGGGGCACTTTTTCTAAAGCTTGTTCGATTGAGCTGATACACAACACTGATACATGAGATGGTTCGGGCATTTTAATTAAACATGCGCCCCACACACACACTCCCAGAGCATGTGTAGAAACTCCCAAAGGTACTAGATTTAATGCATATTAACTAAAGTGTGTTAATCCATGTGTAGATTTGCCCACTGTGGAGGAAATTTAGGTGTGAATTTCCGTAGCTCCAGAAATTGAAGTCAATACTCATCCTTCAGCTAGTTTTTCACCCTCCGACCAAGTCTGAGCCCGTGTGTCCCATGTTGCCTTTTGTAAGTTCTTTTGTTTCCTCAGCCAAAAGGAGCTACAGTGGGTTGATAGATTTCAATGGAGAAACTCTCAAGACTGTTTTCTTTCTCCCCGGAAATCCAGTATTTTTTCCACTTAACTTCATCGGCTGATTGTAGCTCTCCCAGAGTGTATAAATACAGCACAAACAAACAGCAGGAAACTTGCCAGCTCCTCTGGCTGAATAGACATTGGAAGTGCTAAATTGTGTGGCTGACTAGAATTTTATGTACTGCACATGCAACAGCATGGAAATGGGAGAAGAAAAAATCCACTGAGATCAGTCTTACTTTTTCCACACATTTCTTGCTTCTTTACTGTAGCAGCCAATATGCTTGTTAACTCCTGGAACCTGAGATTAAATGCCCTAGCCTGCACCACTCATAGCGACCAAGGAGCCAGCAAACACGGGCTGCAAACAGGGTAAGCAGTTTGCATTCGGTTCTCAAGTCAGCTTGCCCGCCCCACACATACACTTTTTGAGGGGAGAGCCTTTCAGCGTGGTGTGAAGAAGCAGGAAAGAAGGAACCTTTTGGGGCCAATGAGCAGTAAACAGGTGAGCTTCCAGGTGAGATCACTAGGGAAGGTCTGCTTAGAAAAAGAGCAGTAAGAGAGAAAAGGCAGATTAAGAGACCCAGGGAAATGCCTGGAGGATGTCGCAGTGCCAGAGCCACTGCCTCTGCTTGCACCTGTGAGGTTTCTGTCCAGGCAGGACCACTCACCAACGAGGCTTCCACCCAGGTCCAGGTTTGGCACTGTGGATACTGCAGCTTGCAGGTTTCTTCCAGTGTTGGCCAACCTGGTGGGGGGGTGCTTGTGGTGTGAGTATTGCCTCCTAATGGTCTCTCAGGGGTTAGGCAAGAGAGTTACAGAAGAAGGTGATGAGGCTCCGAAACATCGTCTGCCATGAGGAGTTCATCAGTTCGATGCTGGAGGAGATCTCCGGGACCGTGGAGGAAGAATTGCCAGCAGCAGTGCTAGAGAAGAGAGAGGACACAGATTCCCAGGAGGGTGGTAGCGGAAAGCTTGTGACCTCTGGCAGCAAGCAGAAATCTTCACCTCCACCTGCAGCAGTTTATCTGGAGAACAAATACGCAGCCCTAGCAACAGAGACTAGCTTCCTCAGGTGCCTGCACACAAATGCACAGAGCCTGGAAAACAAGCAGGAAGAATTGGAAGTCCTCACACAGTCACGGAACTATGACGTGATCGGAATAACAAGACGTGGTGGGATATCTTGCATGACTGAAGCACTGTGATGGATGGTACAAACTGTTTAGGAAGGACAGGCAGGGGAGAAAAGGAGGAGTTGCTCTTTATGTAAAAGATCCATATGATTGCTCAGAGCTCCAGTATGAAACTGGAGATAGACCTGTTGAAAGTCTCTGGGTTAAGATTAGAGGGAAGAGCAACAAGGGTGATGTTGTAGTGGGTGTCTGGTGTAAACCAGCAGACCAGGGGGAAGTGGTGGATGAGGCTTTCTTCAAATAGCTAGCAGAAGTTTCCCACTCACAAGCCCTGGTTCTCATGGGGGATTTCAATCACCCTGACATCTCCTGGGAGGGCAGTACAGCAGTGCACAGGCAATCCAGGAAGTTTTTGGAAAGTGTTGGGGACAACTTCCTGGTGCAAGTGCTGGAGAGGCCAACTAGGGACCATGCTCTTCTTAACCTGGTGCTCACAAACAGGAAAGAATTGGTGGGAATGTAGTAATGGATGGCAACTTGGGCAGCGGTGACCATGAGATGATTGAGTTCAGGGTCCTGAGGAAAGGAAGGATGGAGAACAGCAGAGTAAGGACCCTGGGTTTCAGAAAAGCAGACTTCAACTCACTTGGGGAACTCATGGGCAGGATGCCCTGGGAAGCCAGACTGAGGGAGAGAGGAGTCCAGAACAGCTGGCTGTATTTTAAAGAAGCCTTACTGAGAGTGCAGGAACAAACCATCCCAATGTGCAGGAAGACTAGCAAGTATGGCAGAAGACCAGCTTGGTTTAGGAGGGAACTATTCAGTAAAATAAGTGACAAAAAAGGAAGCTTATAAGAAGTGGAAACTTGGACAAATGCCTTGAGAGAAGTATAAGAGCATTGCTTGGGCATGCAGGGATGAAGTCAGGAAGGCCAAAGCACAATTGGAGTTGCAGCTAGCAAGGGATGTGAAGGGTAACAAGAAGGGTTTCTACAAGTGTGTTGGTAGCAACAGGAGGATCAAGGAAAGTGTAGGTCCCTTACTGAATGTGGGAGGCAAACTTGTGACAAAGGTGCAGAAAAGCCTGAAGTGCTCAATGCCTTTTTTGTCTCAGTCTTCAAAGGCAAGGTCAGTCCCAGACTACTGCAGTGGGCATCACAGTTTGGGGAGGAGGTGAGCAACCAACAGTGGCAAAAGAACAGGTTAGGGACTATTTAGAAAAGCTGGATATGTACAAGTCCATGAGGCCAGATGGGATGTACCCCAGGGTGCTGAGGGAGTTGGCTAATGAGATTGCAGAGCCACTGGCCATAATCTTTGAAAACTCATGGTTATCAGGAGAGGCCCCAGATGATTTGAGAAAGTCAAACATCATACCTGTATTTAAGAATGGGGAAAAGGAGGATCCAGGGAATTACAGACCAGTCAGCCTCACCTCAGTCTTTGGAAAAATCATAGAGCAAATCCTCAAGGAATCCATTTCTAAGCACTTGGAGGAGAAGAAGGTGATTAGGAACAGTCAGCATGCATTCACCAAGGTCAAGTCATGCCTCACCAATCTGATTGCCTTCTATAATGTGATGACTGGCTCTGTGAATGCAAGGAGACCAGTGGATGTGATATATCTTGATTTTAGCAAGGTTTTTAATATGGTCTCCCATGACATTCTTGCAGGCAAGCTAAGGAAGTATGGGCTGGATGAATGGACTGTAAGGTGGATAGAAAACTGGCTGGAGCATCATGCTCAGAGGGTTCCTGACTGGCCTTGGAGGTGAGGCCAGGGCCTGTATGGCTAAAGGTCCCTGCGGGACCACACCCAAGAGAGGAAATAGTTTCAGGAAGCTAGATAGCCTGAATGAAGGCGGGGTAGGCCGCCTAAATGGAGGGATCTTAGAGGGGTCTTGATCGGAGAATTCTGGGGCCCAGCGTGGGGCCGGTGACTGTAAGAGCTATGGATGCCCTCTGTGCGGCATGGGGT